CACGCTAACAGTATGAACAGAGAGCCAGTACACGCTAACAGTGTAGAGAGCAGTACACGCTAAAAGTGTAACAGAGAGCCAGTACACTAACAGTATGTAACAGAGAGCCAGTACACGGTAACAGTATGTAACAGAGAGCCAGTACAGCTAACAGTATGTAACAGAGAGCCAGTACACGCTAACAGTATGTAACAGAGAGCCAGCGCTAACAGTATGTAACAGAGAGCCAGTACACATCAGTATAAACAGCTAACAGTATGTAACAGAGAGCCAGTACACGCTAACAGTATGTAACAGAGAGCCAGTACACGCTAACAGTATGTAACAGAGAGCCAGTACACGCTAACAGTATGTAACAGAGAGCCAGTACACGCTAACAGTATAACAGAGAGCCAGTACACGCTAACAGTATGTAACAGAGAGCCAGTACACGCTAACAGTATGTAACAGAGAGCCAGTACACGCTAACAGTATGTAACAGAGAGCCAGTCACACGCTAACAGTATGTAACAGAGAGCCAGTACACACAACAGTATGTAACAGAGAGCCAGTACACGCTAACAGTATGTAACAGAGAGCCAGCACACGCTAACAGTATGTAACAGAGAGCCAGTACACAATAACAGTATGTAACAGAGAGCCAGTACACGCTAACAGTGAACAGAGACCGTACACGCTAACAGTATGCAACAGAGAGCCAGTACACACAACAGTATGTAACAGAGAGCCAGTACACAATAACAGGTAACAGAGAGCCAGTACACGCTACAGTATGTAACAGAGAGCCAGTACACGCTAACAGTATGTAACAGAGAGCCAGTACACGCTAACAGTATGTAACAGAGAGCCAGTACAGCTAACAGTATGTAACAGAGAGCCAGTACACGCTAACAGTATGTAACAGAGAGCCAGTACACGCTAACAGTATGTAACAGAGAGCCAGTACAACAGTATGTAACAGAGAGCCAGTACACGCTAACAGTATGTAACAGAGAGCCAGTACACGCTAACAGGTAACAGAGAGCCAGTACACAGCAACAGTATAACAGAGAGCTGTACACGCTAACAGTATGTAACAGAGAGCCAGTACACGCTAACAGTATGTAACAGAGACAGTACACGCTAACAGTATGTAACAGAGAGCCAGTAATAATAACAGTATGAAATAGAGAGCCAGTACACGCTAACAGTATGTAACAGAGAGCCAGTACACGCTAGTAGTATGTATCAGAGCCAGTACACGCTAACAGTATGAAACAGAGCCAGTACACGTAACAGTATGTACAGAGCCAGTACACGGTAACGTATGTAACAGAGAGCCAGTACACGTAACAGTATAACAGAGAGCCAGTACACGCTAACAGTATGAACAGAGAGCCAGTACAAGCGAACAGTATGTAATAGAGAGAGCCAGCACACTCAACAGTATAACAGAGAGCCACACGCTAACAGTATGTAACAGAGAGCCAGTACACGCTAACAGTATGTAACAGAGAGCCAGTACACAACAGTATGTAACAGAGAGCCAGTACACACAACAGTGCAACAGAGAGCCAGCACGCTAACAGTATGTAACAGAGAGCCAGTACACGCTAACAGTATGTAACAGAGAGCCAGTACACGCTAACAGTATGCAACAGAGAGCCAGTACACGCTAATGTATGTAACAGAGAGCCAGTACACGCTAACAGTATGCAACAGAGAGCCAGTACACGCTAACAGTATGCAAAGAGAGCCAGTACACGCAACAGTATAACAGAGAGCCAGTACACTAACAGTAGTAACAGAGAGCCAGTACACGCACAGTATACAGGCACACGCTAACAGTATGTAACAGAGAGCCAGTACACGCTAACAGTATGCAACAGAGAGCCAGTACACGCTAACAGTATGCAACAGAGAGCCAGTAACGCTAAATTATGAACGAGAGCCGTACAGCTAACAGTATGTAACAGAGAGCCAGTACACGCTAACAGTATGTAACAGAGAGCCAGTACGCTAACAGACAGAGAGCCAGCACGCTAACAGTATGTAACAGAGGCCAGTAGCAACAGTAGCGAGAGCAGTACATAACGTATGAAACACGCTAACAGTATGTAACAGAGAGCCAGTACACGCTAACAGTATGCACAGAGAGACACGCAACAAGTATGCAACAGAGAGCCAGTACACGCTAACAGTATGCAGAGAGCAGCACGCTAACAGTATGCAACAGAGAGCCAGTACACGCTAACAGTAGTAACAGAGAGCCAGTACACGCCAACGTATGCAACAGAGAGCCAGTACACGCTAACAGTATGCAACAGAGAGCCAGTACACGCTAACAGTATGCAATAGAGAGCCAGTACACGCTAACAGGCTAAGAGAGCCAGTACACGCTAACAGTATGCAACAGAGAGCCAGTACACGCTAACAGTATGCAACAGAGAGCCAGTACACGCTAACAGTATGCAACAGAGAGCCAGTACACGCCACGTATGCAAAGAGCAGCTAAATGCATAAAGTATAATAGAGAGCCAGTACACGCTAACAGTATGTAACAGAGAGCCAGCACACGCTAACAGTATGTACAGAGAGCCAGTACAAAAGAAGAAGTCAACACACAACAACAGTGTAAGAGAGCAGTACACGCAACAGTATGTAACAGAGAGCCAGACACGTATGCAAGAGCCGACACAACAGTATGTCAGAGAGCCAGTACACGCTAACAGATGCAAGAGAGCTAGTACACGCTAACAGTGTGCAACAGAGAGCCAGTACACGAACAGTATGCAACAGAGAGCCAGTACGCTAACAGTATGCAACAGAGAGCCAGTACACGCTAACAGTATGCAACAGAGCCAGTACACGCTAACAGTGATGCAACAGAGAGCCAGTACACGCTAACAGTATGCAGAGAGCAGTACACGCCAACATATGCAACAGAGAGCCAGTACACGCTAACAGTATGCACAGAGAGCAAGCTAACAGTATGCAACAGAGAGCCAGTACGCTAACAGTAGCAACAGAGAGCCATGCTAACAGTATGCAACAGAGAGCCAGACACGCTAACAGTATGCAACAGAGAGCCAGTACACGCTAATAGTATGCAAAGAGAGCCAGTACACGCTAACAGTATGCAACAGAGAGAGCACGCTAGTGGGACAAACAGTATGCAACAGAGAGCCAGTACACGCTAACAGTATGTAACAGAGAGCCGCTAACAGTATGGCAGTACACGAACAGTATGCAACAGACAAACAACAGATCTCCTAAACAGTTAACAGGAGGCTAAATAACAATGTACACTAAAATAAAGTCAAAAAAACAAGAAATGTGGGTAAACACGTATGGGTTTCAAGATTATTGCCAGAAATCCTCATATTTTAACCTTATCCTCCCTATACCTGATACTCTACCTCATACTAACCACAAATGATCTAATTATACATACTATAATAATGTATTCATAGTTCTTAACATGGAGGATATGAATTAAAAGAAGAAAATCATTAATATATAGTAAATGGAAGTGTTTGATGACGGGGGCGTAGAGGAGGGGAGTCTAGGACCCTCTCAGTTCCTTAGCGTTAGTAGTGGTGAGGTGCTCTACACGGGCTTAAATACGGTACATTTACCTCTTTATATGTAGAAAAGTTATTTAACGATATTATTCACTATTTTACAGTTACGAGGTTATTTAAAGGATTATTGACCTTATAATGAAGTGAAGGTTGTGTTGGAGTTGGGTGGGGCTCAGTTCAGCAGGACTCAGACGCGCGGTGACCTTCATAGCCTGTGTTGCACCACTATTTACTTGTACTTAAGCTTCCGTACTAGGCCATTCAGCAGTGACGGCTCGGGATACACAAATTTGACCTACCTCAGGTATGAGTTGTAGTTGATGTCCACTAATTACCAGGTCATGGTAGTTGCCCAGAGCCATTCAATTATGTTAAACTGGCTTGTATAATTTCTTTGTTCCTGCTTGAATGGTGTAGGTCTTCTTGCTTTGATTATCAGTCTTTCATTTAATGTCGTTGGGAAAAGTTGATGTTTGTATACTTCACCTATTTCCATGGTCAAAGGGTAATTAAAGAAAGCACGAGTTAACACACCGTCCACACGTAATGTTAACACGACACTGAGCTTCAAGTGCGGCGACGCCAATTAATAACAGACATCAATCGTACAGCATTTGACACCAACTATGAAAGTAACTTAAATTTTTGGTCTAATTTAATGAAAATTCACTTTGCAACGTATTAAAATAATTAAATAACATATAAAATGATATATTTGTGTATTATTGAGCTGTGTCTCTAAATGAATCAAACGCCTGTCATTCAGGACTTACCCAGGTCATCTTGGGAGTCTTTAAAACGATTACGTTAGGTCAGGTCATGTTTAATAAGGTTATAGATTTAAACTGGTTTCTAAAAAAAATATATTCCTGCAGGTTTCAAAAGACAGAGAGAGAACGAGAGAGAGGGGCGAGAGAGAGGAGACGGGCTTTTACACCAAAGAAGTATAGGAAACACCCGACCTTCTCCATCCTTCTCCATCATGTCATACGAACATCACGTGCGTGTTTATCCCGGTCGGTATTATAATATTCCTCATCTGTCTCACCTGCCGCCTGTGTTTCTTACTGCAGAAGGCGTCGTAGTGTGGTAGTTCACACTTTACCTGTCGCGATCACTCCAGCAGTCCATAACACCACAGTCACGACAGTACACACAGGGGTACAACGTATCCACAAGCCCCACCAGGATATCCACAAGCCCCAGCAGGATATCCACAAGCCCCAGCAGGATATCCACAAGCCCCAGCAGGATACCCACAGAGCCCCTCCAGGATATCCACAAACCCCAGCAGGATATCCACAAGCCCCAGCAGGATATCCACAGGCCCTGCAGGATATCCACAGGCTCCTGCAGGATATCCACAGGCCCTGCAGGGTACCCACAAGCCCCGGAAGGATTAGGAGACAGCACCACCGCATATTCTGGAGACTGCCCACGTGGCGACACTCTCAACCAAACAGCCCCTCCTTCAGCCCCTCCTTCAGACCCTGGTTCAGTCCCTTCACAGAAAAAGGGCTTCAGTCTTCCTCAGCTGTTGCCTTCACGGTCCAGTAACCCATATAAACCCCTTGATGATGACAAATAAACAGAAGAACTAACGCCATTTTGACCTTAATTCACAGGTAAGTCATTAGTGGGTTTTAATTAAGTAGATTCACCTGTTGATTCACCACTACATCTGGTTAGGGTTTGGTTTACAAAGGAAAATCTTGTCTAACAAATCTGCTGCCGTTTAGGAAAGTCTCGAGTTAGTAGATAATGACGAAAATTACCATGTTATTTACTTAGACTTTAACAAAGCATTTGACAGAGTACCGCATCAGAGGCTTCTGAGAAAAATTAAGGCTCATGGTATCGAGGAAAGTTTAAATTGATAAAATCATGGCTCACCGATAGAACGCAGAGGGTCAGGTTGATGGTGTTAATCTGGAGGCCGTGTAACCAGTGGAGTTCCCCAGGGTCAGTACTAGGCCCACTTTGTTCATAATCTACATAAACGATTCAGATATTGGGATCAGCAGTGACATAAGCAAGTTTGCGGATGACACCAAAATAGGGCAGATTAATTCAGGCAGGATGCAAATGCATTACAGGAGGATCTAAATAAACTGCAGGGTTGGTCTGAAAAATGGCAAATGAAATTCAACACCAGCAAGTGCAGCGTACTTAATATTGGAAGAACAAATACTGTCAATGTATACAGCCTTAACAACATCAACCTAGAGAAGTCGACTTGTGAAAGAGACCTAGGGTATTTAAGGCCGGACCTACGGCCTAGAAAAACAGTGCTAATGTTCAAATTAAAGCAAACAGAGTATTAGGTTTTATATCTAGAAGTGTAAGTAATAAGAGTGCAGAGGTCTTATTGCAACTATATCTTGTGTTAGTCAGGCCGCACCTCGATTATGCGGTTCAGTTCTGGTGCCCTATTATAGAATGGATATCAATTCACTGGAGTCGGTGCAGCGAAGAATGACGAAAATGATTCTGGGACTTAGAAACCTTCCATATCAAGATAGGTTAAAGAAACTAATATTTCATTCCCAGAAAGACGAAGAGTGCGGGGAGATATGATAGAAGTATTTAAGTGGGTGAAAGGAATCAATAAAGGGATATAGATAAAGTTCTTTAATATCCCAGCAGGATAGGACTCGGAGCAATGGATTTAGTTGATAAGCTTAGGTTTAGGAGGATAGGAAGGAACTGGTTCACAATAGGGTGGTGGACGAGTGAACAAGCTTAGCAACTTTGTAGTAAGTGCTGAACGCTGAAAGTTTTAAAGGAGGCTAGATAGGTGGTGGACGATTGGAACAAGCTTAGCAACTTTGTAGTAAGTGCTGAACGCTGGAAAGTTTTAAAGGAGGCTAGATAGGGTGTGGACGATTGGAACAAGCTTAGCAACTTTGTAGTAAGTGCTGGAACGCTGGAAAGTTTTAAAAGGAGGCTAGATAGGGTGGGACGAGTGAACAAGCTTAGCAACTTTGTAGTAAGTGCTGAACGCTGGAAAGTTTTAAAAGGAGGTTAGATAGGGTGGTGGACGAGTGAACAAGCTTAGCAACTTTGTAGGTGCTGAACGCTGAAAGTTTCAAAGAGGCTGGATAGATTCATGGATGATAGAGGTAACTCTCGACAGGAGCTGCCATGAACAGGTCAACTGGCCTATTGCAGACTCTTATGTTCTTAGGTTTGGTTAGTGTTAGGTTAGGTAGAACTTCCTGTCATAATAATATAACCCCTTCCACACCCTCACCCACACCCCCACACCCTCACCTACACCTCCACACACCCCCCACCTCCACACACCACCCACACACCCCCCACACCCTCACTCCACACCTCCACACACCTCACCTCACACCACCCTCCAGTTGCTCTTTCCAGACCCCAAATTTTCTCTAGGATAATGTCGGGAGAGAGAGGGGAGGAGTGAGTTATATGACCCGGATACTGTTGGGACGGGGAGGGAGGAAGGAAAAGACCAGAGACATTCATTCTGTTTACTCATGAGGTCAATCACACGTGTGTTTAAAAGGTGTAGACAGGTGTTCTGGTCTTTATTAACGGGAAGTAGTGAGTGTACAGGTAGACAGGTGTTCTGGTTTTATTAACGGGGTTAGTGAGTTTGATGCAGGTGTTGACAGGTGTTCAGCGCTTATATATACAGATGTTCATGTATTAACAGACTCCATGTATTACAGATGTTCGTGGACAGAATGAACATCTGCTTGACGGAGAAACACCTTTACCAGATCAAGAAATAACCTAAAAATAAAACATCTGTTAAACATATGTACACGAAGAATGATTTAAACATTTGTAGAAGAATGACTTAGAGAAACACCTGATAAATATATATAGAAGAATAATGAAGAAATTACCTAATAAACATGTGGAGAAGAATGACTAGATAGCAGTGATAAAGGTGTCGTGTGGGAGTAGATGTGCAACATTGCTCGAGTGTATAAAACAAGAGATATTTTAAATCTTCTAAAAATGATAATAACAAATACGCTTATGTGAACAAAACAAACAAATAAATAGATAATTATATTTATCAAATTATGTAATAATTTTAACACAACCATAGACATATTTAACATTATTGGAACCAAAACGAATAATTTTAACCAAACAACAACAAAATTCTCAACATTATTGGAACCTAAACTAACAATTTTACCCAAACATCAACAATAAAGGAACACGAGCCTAAAAAATTCACAAAATTAGATCAATAATTTACAATATCAATTTTGTCATTATAAAAGTAACTAATAACAACTTAAACCCTTATATCGACTTATATTCACTTTACTACACTCTAAAGTCACTGTAAATGGGGTTAGTACTTAAGGGAAGTATTTTGTAAGTTTATCACATTGCCTACTATAATTTCTAAGTAATTATACGCTATTGATACACCTATTATGTGTTATAGGGCCTATATAATTAAATAGGCCTATGTATATGCTACGGGACTATATAAATTAAATAGGCCTACACATACTACGGATTATATAAATTAAACAGGCCTATGTTATACCACGATTATATAATTGAAATAGGCCCACATATATAGAACAGGACTTTAAATTATATAGGCCTATACACAAACAAAGCAAATTATTTTCCGATAGGCCTAAACATTATGCTTAGTTCAATAAAATGGCCGCCAGTATGAGTATTATGAGTACACTTTAGTATTTTAATACTGTATTATGAGTACATAGTATTTTGTGAGTATTTGTGAGTACTGTATTATGAGTACAGTGAGTATTTTGTGAGTACTGTATTACTATGAGTACAAAGTGAGTATTTGTGAGTATATTTGAGTATTTGTGAGTACTGTATTATTAGGAGTGCATAGTGAGTATTTTGTAGGTTTTTGTGAGTACTGTATTATTATGAGTACAGAGTGAGTATTTTGTGAGTATGTTGTGAGTACTGTATTATTAAGTGGAGTATAGTGAGTATTTTTGGTGAGTATTTTGTGAGTACTGTGTTAATATGAGTAATATAGTGAGTATTTTGTGAGTACTAAAGAACATAAAAAATTAAGGAGTCTGCAATAGGCGGTTGGACTGTTCATGGCAGCTCCTGTCGAGAGTTACTACCACTCTCTATCATCCATGAATCTATCTAGCCTCCCTTTAAAATTCCAGCGTTCCAGCACTTACTACAAAGTTGCTAAGCTTGTTCCACTCGTCCACCACCCTATCTAGCCTCCTTTAAAACTTTCCAGCGTTCCAGCACTTACTACAAAGTTGCAAGCTTGTTCCACTCGTCCACCACCCTATCTAGCCTCCTTGAAATTTCCAGAGTTCCAGCACTTACTACAAAGTTACTAAGCTGTTCCACTGTCCACCACCTATCTAGCCTCCTTTTGAAACTTCCAGAGTTCCAGGACTTACTACAAAGTTGCTAAGCTTGTTCCACCTGTCCACCACCCTATCTAGCCTCCTTTTAAAACTTTCCAGCGTTCAGCACTTACTAAAGTTGCTAAGCTTGTCCACTTGCCCACCAATCTCTATCTAGCCTCCCTTTAAAACTTCCAGCATTCCAGCACTATTACAAAGTTGCTGCTTGTTCCACTTGTCCACCACCCTATTTTTGAACCAGTTCTTCCCTATCTCCCTCCTAAACCTAAACTTATCCAACTTAAATCCGTTGCTCGAGTCCTATCCTGCTCGGATATTACAAGAACTTTATCTATATCCTTTATTGATTCCTTTCACCCACTTAAATTTCTATCATCTCCCCTGCACTTTCGTCTTCTAGGGAATGAAAGTTTAGTTTCTTAACCTATCCTGATATGGAAGGTTTCTAAGTCCATTCTATAATAAGGGCACCAGAACTGAACTGCATTGTGAGAATTATTATGAGTACTGTGTTATTATGAGTACATTTTGAGTACAATGTGAGTATTTTGGTGAGTATATTGTGAGTACTGTTATGAGTACAATGTGAGGTATGTTGTGAGTACTGTTATTATGAGTACATGTTGAGTACTTTAGAGTATTATGAGTAATCATGATGATTAAATACTGTCCTTGTTAAAATCGACCCAAAAATAAAAGTTTGGTCGGTAATTGCTTATGTTACTCTGATAATAAAAGGGTTTATATCTGTACCCAATAATAAGCTTTTATTTATAACCTAACCTAACCTAACCTAACCTTAACCCTAACTGACCTGACCTAACCTAATCTAACCAACCCCAAATAATAATAATAATAAATAATAAAATAGAGAAAAGAAAGATAAATGTGAATATTGATAAAAATAAGAATATAATAAATACATAATAATTAAAAATAACAAAATACGATAATTATCAAAATATTGTAGGTTTGGTTAGGTTAGGTTATATAAGACAGTGTACGTATACAAACGATGTACATAGGAAACAGTGTACACACAGGTATACACAGGTAAATATACACACAATGATACACGCAGCTGCACAGGTATACACAGGTACACATATGTACACACACAGTATACACATGTTCAAACAGGTACACATACACAGTTTCACATAGGTAGTAGATAATGACGATAATTACCATGTTATTTACTTAGACTTTAGCAAGCGTTTGACAGAGTACCGCATCAGAGGCTTGAGAAAAAATTAAGGCTTACGGTATCGAGGGAAAGTTTAAATTGGATAAAATCATGGCTCACTGATAGAACGCAGAGGGTCAACGTAGATGGTGTTAAATCTGAGTGGGGCCGTAACGAAAGTGGGGTTCCCAAGGGTCAGTACTAAGCCCACTCTTGTTCATAATCTACATAAACGATCTAGATATTGGGATCAGCAGTGACATAAGCAAGTTTGCGGATGACACCAAAATAAGTGGCAGATTAATTCAGGCAGGATGCAAATGCACTACAGGAGGATTTAAATAAACTGCAGGTGGTCTGAAAATGGCAAATGAAATTCAACACCAGCAAGTGCAGCGTACTTAATAATGGAAGAACAAATAATGTATACAGCCTTAACAACATCAACCTAGAGAGTCGACTGTGAAAGAGACTTAGGGTACTTAGGCCCGGACCTACGGCCTAGAAAAACAGTGCGTTAATGTTCGAAATAAGGCAAACAGAGTATTGGGTTTATATCTAGAAGTGTAAGTAATAAGAGTGCAGAGGTCTTATTGCAACTATATCTTGTGCTAGTCAGGCCGCACCTCGATTATGCGGTTCAGTTCTGGTGCCCTATTATAGAATGGATATCAATTCACTAGAGTTGGTGCAGAAGAATGACGAAAATGATTCTGGGACTTAGAACCTTCCATATCAGGATAGGTTAAAGAAACTAAACTTTCATTCCCTAGAAAGACGAAGAGTGCGGGGAGATATGATAGAAGTATTTAAGGGTGAAAGGAATCAATAAAGTAGATAGTTCTTATAATATCCGAGCAGGATAGGACTCGTAGCAACGGATTTAAGTTGATAAGTTTAGGTTTAGGAGGAGATAGGAAGGAACTGGTTCACAAATAGGGTGGTGGACGAGTGGGACAAGCTTAACAACCAGTAAGTGCTGGAACGCTGGAAAGTTTTAAAGGAGGCTGATAGGTGGTGGACGAGTGGAACAAGCTTAGCAACTTTGTAGTAAGTGCTGGAACGCTGGAAAGTTTTAAAAGGAGACTAGATAGGGTGGTGGACGAGTGGAACAAGCTTAGCAACTTTGTAGTAAGTGCTAGAACGCTGGAAAGTCTTAAAAGGAGACTAGATAGGGTGGTGGACGAGTGGAACAAGCTTAGCAACTTTGTAGTAAGTGCTGGAACGCTGGAAAGTTTCAAAAGGAGGCTAGATAGGGTGGTGGACGAGTGGAACAAGCTTAGCAACTTTGTAGTAAGTGCTGGAACGCTGGAAAGTTTTAAAAGGAGGCTAGATAGATTCATGGATGATAGAGAGTGGTAGTAACTCTCGACAGGAGCTGCCATGAACAGGCCAACCGGCTTATTGCAGACTCCTTATGTTCTTATGTTCTAAGGGACACAGGTGCATACAGGTGCATACAGGTACACAAAGGTACACACAACTACACACAGGTACACATAGCTACACAGGTACACATGTATACACAGGTACATACAGGTACACACAGCTACACAGGTACACACAGGTACACATAGCTACACAGGTACACATGTATACACAGGTACACACAGGTACGCACAGCTACACAGGTACACATGTATACACAGGTACACACAGGTACGCACAGCTACACAGGTACACACGCTGGAGTGTACACATCGCCTACAGAGAAAGGCAACACCACCAATGACGTCAGAGAACCACCAGGATTCCTTTATATTAACCTAACCTAACCAACCCTCTACCCCAACCTACCAAACAATTATACAGACCTAGATCATCGAATTATAGATCATTATAGTGAGGATAACCACCAGGGAGGGATTATAGAGGAGGAATTAATGTTAGGAAGGTAATATCACAATTTAACATCAGGTGAACGGGTTAAAATTGTCGCGAGCTGAACACCTATGTTCAGTGTGGCCTAGGAGCCCATAGGAGGTGGACGTGTTACACATTGTCTCAGTGTTTGGTGAAGTTACTTTATTACTTCTGAGTCATTTTAACACCACCAGTTCAAGTTAAAATACTAATTTAACAAGACTTGAGGTGTTATAGAGTTGTATTGGAGCACAAGAGCCAAGATGGATGTGATTGGTGTACGTGTGGTGGTGTACGTGTTAGTGAGTCTAAGCTTTATGGCCCAGCTTGGCTCTACCCTTGTTACTTTATGTACGCTTGAGACTAACTCCATCACGCTTGAGCGGGATGAAAGAGCGTTATTTAAAGCTGATGAAGATATTGTGGAAATATACATGAGGTCCTTATCCACGGGACTCATTGGCAGGTACAGCATTAACGTCCCGCAAGATCTGGCCACAAATCCCTTTATGACGGGAAATGATTATGAATGGTATGAGATGACCTATACAGCGAATGATACTCACCTAATTGTCATTATCAGAGGCAATAACACTCTCTATATCGAAGAAAAATGGACCTCAAACTCAACAAATGAAGCACCTAGTCTAGAATTCACATTTACTGGGATAGCGAAACTTGGGACATTCTGTTTTGACCAGCCTTTGTCAGTGAAACTTTTACATGTACTTGATAATGTCGACTATTCTGGGAAACCTTATAGGCCTACCCCACCAAGTGAAAATTACCATTACAGTAGTTATAGCGGCGGGCATATTATCTTTATACCAGTCGGAGCTATAATATTCTTCATTAGTATTTGCTGTAGGTGTTGTTATCGTCGTAAGAAGATCCTACAGCCAGTTAGAAGCATAGATGTAGTGATGAATGTCCCTGACGCTGATACAACCCCTTCAGGATGTGACAGGACTCAAGGGGATAACGATTTACCTCCGTCTTATACTGACATACAGACGGAAATACCACCACCACCACCTTATTCTGAGATTGAGAAACAGAATATACCTTCTTCAAACACGTCCCCCTTGGAAGAAATACTCATCGATCCTGCAGAAGACGTTACAGATCACACTAACACAGGAGTATCCACTGAAAACACCCCTACAGGATTAGATTCACCCGTAGACTCAACCAACGTAGACTCAACCAATACCAATTCTGTTTCCTCGTCAAATATGTTGGCTAGAGTCTTCAGTTCTCGCCCCAGTGCTCAGTTCGCCTTCAAGCCGCTTAAGGAGGAACACTAAGCAGCCTATAGCGTCTTGTACTCTACGGGGGAACTGCCGGTACTGCAAGGTGAGGTGTTTAATGAGAGGTAGTAGGCCCAGTAGTAGTAGTAGGCCCAGTAGTAGTAGTAGTAGGCTCAGTAGTAGTAGTAGGCCCAGTAGAAGTAATTTAAAAAGGGCATCTCACACACAAAAACGAGAAGTTGACAGAAGGTAACAGCTGGGGTCAGGGGGAACAGGGGGGGTCAGGGAGGGACAGTAGGGGTCAGGGGGGTATCTCTCTCTCTCTGCTTTGTTGCTTGACTCTGTATGTGTTTTAGTACAATGATAATCTATATCAAAACAGGATACGAGAGAGAGAGAGAGAGATAGACTAACGTGTGCATACCAGCTGTTATATGTTGAGGCTTCACTAACGGGAAACCGGGCCGTATCATCAAGCAGTACAGGGTGACTCAGAAACTCTAGTACCCAGTATCCTATATAGTTTAACGTATATTAACGTTGTTATTTACATTATATTCTCCTCACTTGTTGATAAGAGTTTCCATAACAGTGAGGACAGAGGTAATGGTGTAATTGATGCTTTAACGGGACATTATAGGGTCATAAGTAATTCAGTGATGATCTATTTGCCTTGTGACACCCTGTTAATTCGTGGAAGTGATGACGTCATAATGGTTGACGCAACTGGTGGTTATTTGACGAGTTATTAACCTATAGGTAGATATAAACCGTATTTTAGAATTATTTAATTAATTAGTAAACTCTGAGAAGCAGGAGAGATCAAAATAAGATTTAAATTAGAAAATAAATTCGAGTCTTGAGTATTTATATGAGGGCACCTTGCTGCCGGCCATGTCTTGCTGCCAAACGTACGACCAAACATAACCTTATGACGTATATCAACAAATCCTGGAATTTATTATTAAAATTATCAATAAATTCTCTAAATATTGATACAAAATTCCAATAATCGAGTATTTGATCTTTAATTGGTATTATTAAATGATATAAGATTCGATACTTAGTTGTTTATCCGGACGAGAACTTTTCCCCCACCATTGAGTGATATGACAGCTGATGACTCCTGACTCCCCTTGCTGACTCCTGACACCCCTTGCTGACTCCTGACACCCCTGCTGACCTGACACCCTTGCTGACTCCTGACAACCTGGCTGACTCCTGACACCCCTTGCTGACTCCTGACACTCCTTGCTGACTCCTGACACCCCTTGCTGACTCCTGAGCCCCTGGCTGACTCCTGACACCCCTTGCTGACTCCTGACACCTTGCTGACTGACACCTTGCTGACTCCTGACACCTTTGTGACACCTGCTGACTCTTGCACCCTGGCTGACTCCTGACACCCTGCTGACTCCTGACACTTGCTGACTCCTGACACCCCTTGCTGACTCCTGGCACCCTTGCTGACTCCTGACACCTGCTGACTCCACACCGACTCCTTGCTGACTCCTGCCTTGCTGACTCCCACACTCTTGCTGACTCCTGACCTCTGCTGACTCTGACACCCCTTGCTGACTCCTGACACCCCTTGCTGACTCCTGACACCCCTTGCTGACTCCTGACACTTGCTGACTCCTGGCACCCTTGCTGACTCCTGACACCCCTTGCTGACTCCACACCCCTTGCTGACTCCTACACCCTTGCTGACTCCTGACACCTTGCTGACTCCTGACACTCCTTGCTGACTCCTGACACTCCTTGCTGACTCCTGACACCCTGGCTGACTCCTGACCTCCTTGCTGACCCTGACACCCCTTGCTGACTCTGACACCCCTGGCTGACTCCTGACACCCCTTGCTGACTCCTGACACCTGCTCTCCTGACACCCCTGGCTGACTCCTGACACCCCTGGCTGACTCCTGACACTTGCTGACTCCTGACACCTTGCTGACTCCTGACACCCCACTGACTCCTGACACCCCTGGCTGACTCCTGACACCCCTGGCTGACTCCTGACACCCCTGGCTGACTCGACACCCCTGGCTGACTCCTGACACCCCTTGCTGACTCTGACACCCCTGGCTGACTCCTGACACCCCTGGCTGACTCTGGCACCCTTGCTGACTCCTGACACCCCTGGCTGACTCTGACACCTCTGCTGACTCCTGACACTCCTGGCTGACTCCTGACACCCCTGGCTGACTCCTGACACCCCTGGCTGACTCCTGACACCCTGGCTGACTTCTGACACCCCTGGCTGACTCCTGACACTCATGGCTGACTCCTGACACCCCTGGCTGACTCTGACACCCCTGGCTTACACACTCAAGAGTTTCACACCTGGCTTTGCACACCTGGCCTTGCATACCTGGCCTTGCATACCTGACCTTGCACACCTGGCCTTGCATACCTGGCTTTGCACACCTGGCCTTGCATACCTGGCCTTGCACACCTGGCCTTGCATACCTGGCCTTGCACACCTGGCCTTGCACACCTGGCCTTGCACACCTGGCTCAGACACCTGGCCTTGCACACCTGGCCTTGCATACCTGGCTCCACACCTGGCCTGGCTATACCTGACCTTGCATACCTGGCCTTGCACACCTGGCCTTGCATACTGCCTTGCATACCTGGCTTTGCACACCTGGCCTTGCACACCTGGCCTTGCACACCTGGCCTTGCACACCTGGCCTTGCACATACCTGACCTTGCACACCTGGCCTTTGCATACCTGGCCTTGCACACCTGGCCTTGCATACCTGACCTTGACACCTGGCCTTGCATACCTGGACCTTACACCTGGCCTTGCATACCTGGCTTTGCACACCTGGCCTTGCACACCTGGCCTTGCATACCTGGCCTTGCACACCTGGCCTTGCATACCTGACCTTGCACACCTGGCCTTGCATACCTGGCCTTGCACACTAAGCACACATCTGACTCTCGACCAGTATGTGTGTGTGTGTGTATGTAAGTGTGTATGTGTGTGTGTATGTATGTATGTGTGTGTGTATGTGTGTGTGTTCTGTAGCGTTAGTGAGGCGTAAATTCTGTACACAATAACAATGTCAGGTCAGGTCAGGTCAGGTCGGGTTGGGTCAGGTCAGGTCGGAATTGGGTCAGGTCAGGTCCTGAACATTTTATACACTTATGTTGTTCATTTCATCGTAGTTCATACCCTCTTTCTTTCCGGGTTGAACTGCAGGAACACGATGAACAATGATGAACAAAGAATGAACAATGATGAACAGAAGAATGAACACTGATGAACAAGAAGAATGAACAATGATGAACAAGAAGATAGAACAATGATGAACAGTGATGAACCAAAATGAACAAGAATAATGAACAAGATGAACAAGGCTGATAAAAATGGACAAACACTGAAAAAATGGACAAAAATGAACAAAAATGGACAAAAATGGACAAAAAGTTGAACAGTATGTATATTCAAGCTATCCCATATGTATAGACCATCGCTATATATACATAATTACTGTATTAACGACGTCTGTAGGGTCTGTTAGTCCAGCTGTGTACCTGACGTGACACTTTATGAATTGGATATGTAGAGTTCAGTGTCTGCCATATTGTCTCCTTGTACTGAAGACTCGTTAAACAGAGTTGGCCATATTGCCTACTTGTATTATTGAAGGTTAGTGTACAATGTCGGCCATGTTGTTTCCTTATGTATTGAAGGGTTTGTCGTATTGTCTCCTTGTGTACTGAAGACTCGGTAAACAGTGTTGGCCATATGCCCTACTTGTGTTATTGAAAGGTTAGTGTACAATGTCGGCCATGTTGTTCCTTATGTATTGAAGGGTTTGTGTCGGCCATATTGTCTCCTTGTGTACTGAAGACTCGGTAAACAGAGTTGGCCATATTGCCTACTTGTGTATTGAAAGGCTAGTGAACAATGTCGGCCATGTTGTTTCTTTGTGTACTAGAGGACTCGGTGACTTATTAACCAAACTTAAACCTTATTTTAATCATAATAACCAAACAAATATCTTATCAATTATCAATTTATATAACAGTTATGTTTTTGTAGTTATTTTTTTATAGTTGATTAAATAAAAAATTACTTATAATATTATTTCATTTAAATATTATATAAAAATAATTAATATTTCAAGGAGATGAATACATTAATTACCATCGTTCAAGGGTAATTCAAACAAGGTAGTTCCTAGAGTAGTTAAGGACGATAGTTAACTTCCTTGTTTATGTAATTAATTAGTTATGAGGAGGTCACCTGAAGAAGTTGACCCCCTCTAGTTTATTAACCTGACCTGACCTGACCTGACCTTAAGCTGACCTGACAGAGAGAGAGAGAGAGAGAGAGAGAGAGGAGAGAGAGAGAGACAGAGAGAGAGAGACAGACAGAGAGAGAGACAGAGAGAGACAGACAGAGAGAGAGAGAGACAGAGAGAAGACAGACAGACAGAGAGAGAAGGCGAGAGAGAGAGCGAGAGAGAGAGACAGAGAGAGAGACAGAGAGAAGAGAGACAGAGACAGACAGACAGAGAGACAGAGAGAGAGAGAGGAACAAACATATCTCCAGAATACACAAACATCAACTCCTTCATACCGTCTCTCACCCCCCTCTCTCTTGGCCTCGGTGTAGTGAAGGTCCGTCTCTTGGCCTCGGTGTAGTGAAGGAGTCCCTCTCTTGGCCTCGGTGTAGTGAAGGAGTCCGTCTCTTGGCCTCGGTGTAGTGAAGGAGTCCGTCTCTTGGCCTCGGTGTAGTGAAGGAGTCCGTCTCTTGGCTCTCCCGTCCTTGTAACCTAACCTAATCTGTATGCTGTCTAGACCCTGCCACGTGTGTGTGTCTGTGTGTGTGTGTGTACGTGTGTGTGTACGTGTGTTTGTTTTTCAGTAGGGACGCTGTTAACATCTCTCTCTCTCTCTCTCTCTCTCTCTCTCTCTCTCTCTCTCTCTTAATAACACTAGGAAAACTTGGAACTTAACCTATGACGTGTATGCCACCAAAATCCCACTACACACACACACACACACGGAAATACACACATACTTAGATACGTACACAGACACACACACACACACACGGAAATAGATACACACATACTCAGATACGTACACAGACAGACACACCATCAATCAACCACCTGGGCCACACACACACACACACACCTCAACCAATCCAACCACACTATCCGACCACATCCCTCCCCACACACCACACCTGTCCCTCCACCCCTATACCACACCTGTCCCTCCCACCCCCCCACCTGTCCCTCCACCCCCCCATACCCACCTGTCCCCCCACACCCCTCCACACCACCACCTGTCCTCCCCACCCCCCACACCCACCTGTCCTCCCACCCCCCCCTGTCCCTCCCACCCCTATACCACACCTGTCCCTCCCACCCCCACACACACCACCTGTCCCTCCCCACACCCCTATACCCACCTGTCCCTCCCCCCCCCCACCCCACGCCCACAGGAAAGGTTTTTTTGGGAGGATGTTACACCACTTGCCAGCTGGACATTCCTGAAGAAGCTGGCGCACACTGGGGGGTGCGGGAGGAGGGTGCTGGGGAGGAGGGGTGTGGGGGAGGAGGGAGCAGGGAGGAGAGAGGTTAGAGGAATGCCAACAGTGTATTCTGGACTTCCTTCCCCCCTTCCCCTCCTTCCTCCCTCCTTCCCCCCTCCCCTTCCTCCCCTCCTTCCCTTCCCCTTCCTCAAATTATTAACCGGAAACCAAAAAATAATATTAATACAAATATTTTATTCTCTGGCGACTTGTTATTGGAGTTAATATTTTTGTTAATACCTCAGATTTAAACCATTTGAGAGAGAGAGAGAGAGTTAAAGAAAGTGAGATAAAACTCTTGTGCTCACCAGGGATCGAACCTGGGACCTTCTGTGTGTTAGACAGATGTGATAACCACTACACCATGAGCACTTGGTGACACAGGTTCGTATCCCTATTGAAGAAAGAGAGAGGAGAAAGTGAGTTAAAAGTGAGATAAAACTCTTGCTCTCAGGGATCGAACCTGGGACCTTCTGTGTGTTAGACAGATGTGATAACCACTACACCATGAGCACTTGGTGGTTTAGGCTCGTATCCCCTATTGAGAGATCCCATAGATAGAGACCAAGTGATAACAGTAATAATCTAACCTAACTTAACCATAAACTTTACCTTAATTAGACTAAATTATTTCCCAATTGACGTAAATAACTCCCTATTTTCTTGTAAAAGTCGTAAGTACATTATTATTATTATTAACAAATACGTATTCATTATCAATATAAATTACAAACATGAATTATTATTGTCATTATATTCGTAAAAAATATGTATCTGACGGAAAAAAAACTGTAGTGTTGTCATATAAAACACGAAACATTAATATTTTCAGATTCCATTAGCTTACATAGGCTATTAACCAAACCTCCTCTTGGGAGAAACTGGCGCAACAAATTCTTCTACAACTACTTATAAGAATCCGCCATTTTGAATGACGTCTGCAACACAACAACCAATCACAGTTACTTTTAAAGTTTGACGTTACATGAAATGAAAACCAATCAAATAATCTCAAACCTGTGACGTCATTAAGCTGCAGGAGCGACAACCAATCACAGTTAATCTATAACCTGTGACGTCAAATAACGTCATTTTGTTGGAGATCCTTAACAACCAATCATCTCAAGACATTTCCTATCTTGGACGTCATTTAATTGGAATTAGAGCAACAACAATCACATTTAGTCTCCAGCCTGTGACGTCATCTAGCTGGCGGTACTCAATAACCAATCACAAAACTGAAGCCTGTCCCACTTATGACGTCATATAGCTAGTGTTCAACTAACAACCTTTATTATGAGTTGCTGTTGACGACTTGGTTCAAGAGACGCGGCGCGGGACTGGGCGGGGCTCGCTCTCTCTTCCTCCCTCTACCCTCCCTCTACCCTCCTCCATCTCTCTCTCTCTTTTGACGTTTTAATATGAATACAAACAAGTGAGAAATTATCTTGTGCAGCATAGCCGGCTCCACCATGGGATCAGCGTCAACAATTCTGCTCCCAACTATACGCCCTTCGGGATTTATTGAAGTCTCAAACTGGGCCACCAACAACCATGTCACCATCAACATACAAGACCATGGTTGCATCAACCTCCTCCGACATTGTCCCACCTCCTTCCATTACTCTGGGGTCGGGACACTCCAGGTTGTAGGTCCAGGCTCCGGCGTCACCATAGACAACAAACTAAATTGGAAACCACATCCCAGTGAAGTTGTCAAATCCTCCAGTTTCCGTCTCCACCTCCTCCGCGACTCAAGTCCCTCAGGTTCCCTTACCTCCTCCAGTGTATACACAACATTCATACTTCCCCAAGCTCACCTATGCCTCCCCACCTGGTTTTCGCCCTAAATGCCACACAACGTAAACACAGAAAAAGTGCAAAAGAGGGCATGCAAGATTATTCTCTCCCCTTCCTACTCCACATATCAAGAAGCGCTCAACACACTGACCTTTCGACTCTCACTGACCATCCCACGGCCTCATCTGAATTTGGTGAAGCTTCTACCATCCGCGACACCGGCTCCCTCTACCTAAGATCCCTTGTCCAAAGGGTGCTGTTCGACACCACAACCGCATCCAGGCCATACGTGCAACTGACGTCGCTATAGAACAGCCCAGTCCCAGCCATTGTCAAAATTATCAATAACTTGTAATAAACCAGTGTATTCACTCAGTAAACACTACTCCTACACTGTCACTATGTTGAAATAAGAACAGCAATACGCTGCTTCTA